CCTTTGTCCGTTTGGAATTACTAATAATATATCTATTATTCCAATTGTCCGGGTAAATTGCAGGTTCGTCGCGTGGGCGACCAAGGTATTTAGGATTTCTATTTATGCTTAATATTGAACTGTGGTTTTTCTATTCACAATTGTAAWTTTTTTTTCTTTTTGCCGGGTTGTAGTGAGACCCGACCCACCTTTCAACTGCACTTCGGGTGACCGGACRCTGTTCTCGGTACACGTATGGTGCACACAAGGGTTCGATGGAGGCGTCGCTCAACGCTTTGCCTTGGAAGCGTACGACTCGGCGGGCCGTGCTGGCTCCGACGGCGGAGAGTCGTCTGGTCTGGACGATGGGTATGGCGGACCCGCGGTGGCTGCAGACGGACCGGCGCCACCCATGTTGGCCAACCTGACGTCCGACCGACCGGACTTTACGCTRCGACAACTGTCACCGTCAGTCGGGCTCCGATTGGCCGTTTACGCGTACAACTCGCGCGGCACCAGCGACCGCACGTGGCTTACCGCTTACACACTCAACTCGGCCGACAAGCAGACCACTTCCGGTACGTACAACGATAAATACATATTATATAATTATTATTGCCAGCCATTCATAGAGTATTGACGTCAAGTAATAAGTCATTTTCGACAACTGTTTAATTGATGTGTACGAAATGTGCCGTCATATTATGCATCCTGAAGTTAATCAATTATTATCATTTCTTAAAATGTATTATATTTATAATTTATCTAATTTCATTATATATTTTATAATTATTATCATTTAAAATATAGACCCGTATTTCTCAAACTGTAGTATGCAGGGGGCTACATGGTGGTATGCGAAATACTACGTGGTGGTTTTATGAAAAATAATAAATTAATATATTTACGAATGTCTGTAATTTATCTACTAATGTTTAGTCAAGGTAGCAGGTTCAACTAAAGACGGTTGTACCTCAACTAGTTTTGGCTAACAAATAAAAATCCTACTTCATTTTTTGTAAATATACATATATAAAGAAATGATAAAAATGTTTTATAGTGAACTGTATAAAAGTATTAATTGTATTTTTGTATAGCACTATAATAATAATAATAATGACAGTCACGGAGGCAATTTATAATACAAAAAAACAGCAATTGTGTACGATGCTGATAATAACAATCGTCGCGCTAACAAAATTAATAATAATAATAGGTGTGATACATTTGACCTGGCAGCTAACTGGACGCTTTGCACCATACGATGTAACTCTCAGTTGATGAATACATCCAAACTATGAGGCAATAATAAAATATCTAAAAATATCACTGTCCTGAGTTAAAAAGACTTGAAACATTTTAATTTTTTGCATAAACCTGACATATATACATCGAAACTTTTTCTTTTAATTCAAAATCAAAAGTAAGTGGTTAAATTTATGCATAGTAACCAACCTAACCTAACGAAAAAGTTGTATAGTAACTGGTTCTAATGCGAATAGGTGTTGCTTCCAACGGATTAACAAAAATATAATAATATTTAAATAACAAGAATATATATATATATATATATATTTAAATACCTATTCTATTTTCATAATAACTAATATTGTGTTAAATTCTAGATTAATTTATTGCCTAACAATTTTCGGTAGTCGTATTTTATAATATATTTAATATATATACATTTTGTAGATAGGCACYGATGACTATATGTTATTTAAACTCATTTATAAATCTATTGATACTGTGTAAGACACGGTGATCCTAAGACGATGTAGAAAATATTAATATATGCATTCCTTCATACCCATGTATACTAAAGTGTTTTTAATTAATAAAACAATTATGTATGTGCAAATAATAAAAATAATAATCGTTAAGGAAACGGCTGTTATAATATTAGAGTGGTTTCTTAACTTCATAACAGTATGTAGTTGTGTAACTTTAGACATTATTATAAGCAAATGTGATTTTAAAAAATTCTACTTTATATTCATATAAATAGATATTTTAAATTCGGTATATTTCATACTATTTTACTGCAGTATTAAACTTTGATTTAGGTATGATATTGAAAAACCACTCTAATATTATAACAGCTGTTTCCTTAACGATTATTATTTTTATTATTTGCATACATAATTGTTTTATTAATTAAAAACACTTTATATTCATATAAATAGATATTTTAAATTCGGTATATTTCATACTATTTTACTGCAGTATTAAACTTTGATTTAGGTATGATATTGAAAAACCACTCTAATATTATAACAGCTGTTTCCTTAACGATTATTATTTTTATTATTTGCATACATAATTGTTTTATTAATTAAAAACACTTTATATTCATATAAATAGATATTTTAAATTCGGTATATTTCATACTATTTTACTGCAGTATTAAACTTTGATTTAGGTATGATATTGAAAAACCTATATGTACATAGGACGAAATTATTTGGTTGACAAATGATGCAACGTTTTGCTTGATTTCGTTTTAATACTTTTAACAAACCAAGCCCTTATGAATTGTGTCATATAAATAAAAATTTTAACCACCCGTCCGTTTACTGACCGTGAGCGTGTTGTCGCTGAAGTTGTACATATTATTATTTTACGGTCGTTGTACCGCGTTAACGATTATTATGGTTGTAAACACCATAGAGACCTCCACCTCAGTGGTATATATGTATACACAGTTATACGCGTAGATAACTGCACAACTGCAGCTGAAGTATTTTAATATTATATACCTCCGTCAGTGTTCTATGAGTCTCCGAAGAACAGAAGAATATGCATAAACAATGTCATGTAAATATATATTATTATTATATTATCAYAACCATTTATGTGTATCATGTTACCATATCTGTTTACTGTGGCTCTGGTATATTCCTTTCACGATCTAATACACAATACGTACCTACTATCCAGGCAACACGAGACAAGTAGATTTTGGTATTACATAGC